TACTAGTTTTATTTATAAATAAAGTTAATTTTTATATTTTTTTAAATAACTTAGTTTTTCATATATTTTATACTATTGTAACTGTTCTGGTTTTTTAATTTTAATACTAGTTAGTTTAGAGTTTAACTTAGTTTAAAGTCTAGTTTTTATTTATTAGTTTTATATAGTTTATAAGCTATAATAATAAAGTTCTTTTAATTTCAGTAACAGTTTAGTTATATACAAAAATTTTTAATTTTAAAATTTATATTTTTTTAGACTTATATTTTCTAAGACCAACTGTTATTGCTGTTAGCTTATATAGAAAAAAGAAAAACTTTTTAGTTATAATAAAAATATATATTTTATATATTTAGTTATAAAAAGTTTTAAAAAGTAGATATTAAAAAAAGTAATGCTTAAGATTATATAACAGCTAATTAAATTAATATAATTCTATTAATTTAGTACTATTTTAATAAAATCTTAAGTATAAAAAAAAAGAAAAAAAAAGGCAGCTATATATTTCTACAGTATTATCTTATCTGTATATATATATTAAACAAAACAAATAGAGTAAACAAGTTAAACCAGTCCTGTTTTGGTGGCCTGTGCTGGGTCCGTCCTGTTCGCCCTCACATAACAGCTAAATAAGCCGGCTACAGCTGCTTTTAAAAGTAGCAGCTGTTTTGCAAGTTAAGCAAAGTAGTAATAATATCTTAAAATAATATATTAGTACTTTTAGCTTTGTAAAAGCTATTTGCTCATTATACTATTTCACCTTTTAGCCCTTATATTAAGAATTAGCTACTTTTTAAATATTTTTATTATTATTTAAACTAAATTAATTAAGTGCTTTCTGTTTTAATATTTTATATATTTTAATATTACTGCCTTAAGTTTTTTTATTTTTATATATATATATTTTTATTTCCCTAGTTATATATAGCTGATTTTTTATATATTTCTACTATATTCTGTATTTCTATTTTGCCGCTTATTTTACTTTATATATATACTTTACTTACAGACTAGGGGGATTATTAGCTGTAACTCTAAGTATATTCTACTACTATTAACTGCTTAGTAATCTACCAGCTGCTGCCGCCTTTGGCAAGAATCTTATATATTATATATAGCTAGTTAAAAACTTAATTAAGTAAGTATTATTAATCATATTATTCTTTATCATCAGCAACAGTTGTCACTAATAACATTAGCTTATATATTTATTAACTAGCTTTATTTTTTAGTATAAAAATATATTTTATATTTAATATTAGTTTATTTATTTTTATTAGTAGAAAATTAGTTTTTAAACAGTACTAACCTCCACCGCCCTATATAAAAATTAGTAGATTAAAAAAATAAAAACTTAAAAATATTTTAAATTTTATATAGAATTATAAAGAATGCAGCTGTCTTTTACTAATATATATTATAAAATAAATTAAATATTTAGATTTAACTGCTAAATTAATTTAGTATTTAAAAAATATCTGCTAAATAGTTAAAAACTTTTATTACTGTTATTTTAATAAACTATGATCTATATTTTAATAAAGCTTAGCTTTAGAAAAAAAATATACTATTATAGTATAGATTTAATATACCTGTTTTATCTATTTTATTTATTTAATTTATTTAATTTATTTTATTTTAATAATCTGCTAGTTTTTTTAACTGTTTTATATATAATTTATAATATTTTTAATTATTTATCTATTTTTAATTCTGTTTATAGCTTTTTAAGCTATATTTTATCTATAAATCTAAAAAATAATCTAATCCAGTAGCTAGTAAAGAATTTAGAAAACCAGTTATAGAGAATTATTTAGCTAGAAGCTGTTATTCCTACCACCCAGCCAGACTAAGAACCAGACGCCAGCCCGCTTCTTGACATTCATCACCTACTAAAATGATCAGTTAGACCGTCACACCTGCCCATTACTTGACACTTGATATATTTCAACTATATTAAAATAAAAAAGATATAGCAGATAGATTTTAGTATTAAAAATATTTAAAATAGTTAACTGTTTATTTTTTAGCTAAACAGCAGTTAGGTATAAAAATTTTCTTAATCTAACTATAACCTAGCAGTCAGGTATAGAAATTCTAATCAACCTAATCTGACCTGGCTGATAGCCACTCTAAGCTTAGTATTGGTTAAAAATCTTTACTATTCTTGGGGTAGAATTTTGAACTACGCTAAGTTATTTTCAGACCACACTGAGCTGGGCGGCCTAAAAACCGACATAGCCGACCTGCAACCTTATTCTTCAAAGCCCAGAACCAATGGCTGCGTAGTGCGACTGACCAGTGTGGAGCGCTGCGCTTTGACCCAACCACACCCATGATGGTGCAATCCATCAATAGGAGAATTTGTCGGTCCGTTCCGCAGTTTGCAAGTCAAGGTTGGTTAAGAAACTGGAATACCCAAACCAATTTCTCCGTGGTTCATGTCAAATGTTCCGGATTTCCTGCAGTGTACGGGGGAGTATTGCGAAGGTATCGGGGCGGTATTGAAGTGGTAATGGGTAATATTCCGTTCCCGAAGAGGAAGAGCAATAACCAAGGGTTATTCAGGCGCGCCTCGGTAGTAACAGGTATAGTGGAGAGACTTATAGGTGACTTCACACTAGCGAGGAGCATTAGGGGAAATGGGGTTATTGGATGCTGTGATTGGTGCAGCAACTCGGCTCAATTGTAGCTGAAACCACTGGAGGTTCCAGTTCGGGTTTCCCCTGACCGGGAACCCTCATCATCTCCTCTCCCCCCCAACCAAGCATTGTCGGAGCTCCACCGGACTATTCTAAGCATCTGCGTCCCAACTTGGTAGCCTTGGCCGGTTCAGCTTATCTTTAACATCTGTTGTTGGCGGGCCTCACTCGGCAACTGCTGTCATATCAAGTCCCCACTCATAACTGCGGTCAATATAATCGTGCGTCTGCAGACTTGGAGTGGCCCCGAGGATACCTAGAGGCGAAGAGCCGACATCTCCCCATAAAGTGGAGACTGTAATTAGTCTTGATCGGGCAGCCAATTCCGGCACTACAGCGAGGGCGGCCGTAGCAGGACGGACCTGGTTCCGCCACCTAAACATCCCTCCATCCCCGAAGCGAGATTAGCCGTCGACTTCGGAGGTTGACGCGCTGCCAGAAGGGTATAAAGATAAAGTCAGGTCGACGCCTTGCACCTATCCATTCTCCAATATCGACTCTCAATCATACACTCCCTGTTCATCTGCTCACCCTCTGTCACTCTTTATCCTTTCCTACCAACAAAAATGGTTCGTCGACTTGCATTGGCGTGCGGACTGCTGGCAGCAGCTGTGGTAGTCCAGGCAGCTCCCGCGGAACCGGCTCACCCCATGGTGACTGAAGCGCCGGACGCGAGCCTCCTCCATAAGAGAGCCACCACTTGCACCTTCTCGGGCTCTGAGGGAGCTTCCAAGGTGAGCAAGTCCAAGACGGCTTGCTCCACTATCTACCTGTCCGCTCTGGCTGTCCCCTCCGGTACTACCTTGAACTTGAAGGACTTGAATGACGGAACCCACGTAGGATTCTCCTGATGATCAGTACCAAGGGCTGCGCTAATGGAGTCAATTAGGTTATCTTCGAAGGCGAGACCACCTTTGGCTATGAAGAATGGGAGGGTCCGCTTGTCTCCGTCTCCGGAACCGATATCACCGTCGAGGGCGCGAGTGGTGCCGTTCTAAACGGCGATGGCAGCCGCTGGTGGGATGGGGAGGGAGGCAACGGTGGCAAGACTAAACCCAAATTCTTTGCAGCCCATGATATGACATCCTCGACGATTAAGAGCATTTATATCGAGAACTCCCCAGTGCAGGTCTTCAGTATCGATGGCTCGACTGATTTGACTTTGACCGACATTACTATTGACAACACTGATGGTGATACGGATGATCTTGCGGCGAACACCGATGGTTTCGATATCGGAGAGAGCACCGACATCACAATCACCGGAGCCAAGGTCTACAACCAGGATGACTGTGTTGCCATCAACTCCGGCGAGGTACAGTACACTCGACTCCCCTTGGCGGAGAGACCCAATCCTAACAATTCTGCAGAACATCTACTTCAGTGCCAGTGTGTGCTCCGGTGGCCATGGCCTGTCCATCGGCTCCGTCGGCGGTCGAGACGATAACACAGTAAAGAATGTCACCTTCTACGATGTCAATGTTCTTAAGTCTCAGCAAGGTACTTCCTCCAATCTTCCAGAACGCGGGTCCCGTACTAACCCGTCCTACAGCTATCCGCATCAAGGCCATCTACGGAGACACGGGCTCGATCAGCGACATCACCTATCATGAGATTGCCTTCTCGGATGCCACGGACTACGGTATTGTCATCGAGCAGAACTACGATGATACCTCCAAGACCCCAACCACCGGCGTCCCCATCACGGATTTCACTCTCGAGAACGTGATTGGCACCTGTGCGGACGACGATTGCACCGAGGTCTACATCGCATGTGGCAGTGGAGCCTGCTCGGACTGGAGCTGGTCCAGCGTGAGTGTCACCGGCGGTAAGGTCAGCTCGAAGTGCTTGAACGTGCCCTCCGGGATTAGCTGCGACTTGTAAGGGACTGGCCCATAGAATCGGCCAAACTTCGGCAAAGGTTTCACCTTGTCATGGCCGTGAACTTAACAGAAGATGCCACTAATTTGTCAAATATGAACAAGACTTTCCAGCCTGTGTCTACTTGTTTAGTCCATCATCGTAGCAGAGAGGTATGAATCCCGTGGAGTAGGTGTCGGGTTTGAAAGATATGCGGGCTACAATTCTGAATAGAGAAATCTGGACAGAATGATGCATGCATACTTAGGCTAATATCCCAGTTTCCGGACTGCAACAGCTGCCTGGTCTGCATGACGGCAAGAAAGCATATTAGGAGGGTATGGTTTTTCATTCTCCGACGCTCGCGCTGGCGTTCAAGGCCGCACCTACATGCATGTTATGTCTCCAGATCTCTGTACTGTTTGATCCTAGTCTTTCTCACAATCCCTGCGCGTGGAGAAATTCAAAAATCAACTGGAAGGCTTGAGGTGCGACCGTGTGAAAGTTGAGGTTGTGGCTGTGGTGAGAGGGCCAGGGTTAGCGGGAGACAACCCTATCTGGATACGGGGGAGGCGATACTCACCCTGCAGGAAGATCATCCACCCAGCTTACTACCTGCGAACTGTTGAATGTGGCCGGGCTGTTCTCCAATTGTCCCTTACAATTGCCACCACAGGACGACAGATCGAACTGGCCCTGCACGAGGTAGACAGGGGCAGTGATGCGGGAGTATTGAACGGGGGAGGCCAGGAGGGAGGGAAGCTCACCCACCGCGAAGGGCTCGCCCTCGACAGTAGCTGCCCACTGCGCCACCTGGGAGTCGAAATGCGGAGCAGCGAAGCCATAGTAGGCCACCGCGTATTGGTCGCCTGCAGTCAGGTAGGCCGAATCCAGCCTGCCCCAGCGAGTGGGCGACAAGGTTCGCGCCTGGCGCAGATGCGACCCTGCCAAGAAGAAACCAAAATAGTCAAATGCGGTGCTGAAGCCGGTCAGCACGAGGGCGTCGACTGTGATTGAGGCAGCCGATGCGGCCGCCAGATAGCTTCCGTAGCTGTGGCCGACTAGCCCGACCTTGCTAACGTGGGGGAGTCGGCGAGCATAGTCCACCAGGCCATTCAGCACTGCCGTCTCGACCTGGAATTGAGCATCGAACAGGCCATCAACCTTGGATGATGACCCAACCCCAATGCGATCGTAGTTCAGCACCGAATACCCGGCTGCCACCGCGGCTTGGACAAAGTTGTATGGATCGGAGCCAGCGAATGTAGGATTCCAGTAGCTGCATAATCCTTTGTTATTCCACTTTGCCTTCCTCCTCACCGGGGTACAGTACGTACGCTTTGGACTCAATGATACCATGTGTGAGAACCAGAATGGTTTCTCCCGTGCCGCAGAGGGTGCCGCCGATGGTGTAGTTGCTCTTCACAGGACTCGTGGTGCCAGAAATTGGAATGGGATCGTTGGATGAGCCAGAGTCATGTCGGGTCAAATTAAACACCAATGATGCTGCATCCCAATCATTTTTGATCGTGGTGTTGATGATGAATCGCGGTTCATTCACGGTGATGGGGATGTTGACCTCGCGGCATGCTGACGCCCCTTGCGATGGTAGAGCCAAGCAGCCTGCAGCAAGGAGAGCCAGAGAGGACAGGAGAAAGGCCCCGACCATGGTGGCAGTGACTTGAAACCCGGAGGAGATGGCTTCGAACTGTTCTGTTGTCCATTGCAGCCCGTAGAACACTCTTTATAGGGTGGGTTTGGGCCGTGAGGGAAGCCATCGCAGAACGAGGCGATCAGAACCATCAGGAACTCTGTGATATTAATACGACCTCGCCAATTGCCGTGCTGATCCTTCTTGGCGCTGCACGGCTGGTGATTGGGGCATTGAGGTGCCAAGAGCCCCGACTCCGCCGACACGAGGCGTGAAATAAGCACCAATGCACCAGGACACGAAGACAGGCACCCACATGGCATCCCCGATGTCTCGGTCCGGTGTCTCTGCTGCCAGCATGTTTGATCACTTAGATCACTTGAGGGACCAATCACCAAGGGCTTGTATAGTTCTAGGTCGCATCCCTTCGTATCATGGGGTGGAGAATAACCGAGGTAGCCAATCTGGTCGACAGACAGTATTGGGCTAGTAACTACTATAGGTATCAGTTGTCTTCACCAAGGCTAACCCGATATCGGCCCTTGCTCTCTGCTGGTGCTTTCTCCGTTGCGTTGATGGCGTCTTCCCGGTTCTCGGTAAGAATGTGTTGCTGACCTTGTTGTGCTATAAAGCCAATATTATAGTCAGTAGAGTAGTAAGGCTGTATGCATGATATAAAGTATCAAATCCATGTCCTAGATAACGGGACTTGTATGCCGAGGATCTAACACTGTGGCTTCTGCACAGATTGTCTAAGCCACAGGTCTAGATATGGTTGTGCTCAGCACAATACTTTGGCCGCAGCAGTTAAGACTATCTGCTGCCTAAGAGCATCGGCTGCGTACGACAATAAATCTTGAACAGTTCAGAGTAGGTAGTGTTGAATCTGTGCCCAGATCTTCAAGAATCTCGGGCGCATGGATGGATCCATGGGTGTTTCACAACAGTTAAGTTACTATCCGCAAACGGCTTCTTTGTTATTTGGCCCAGGCCTAGACCCGAGGATCTATTCCTCTGCTCCCCTCATCTGCGAGCGTAGTACCGGAAGTGTTGCGGAGCCTGGATATGCGAGTTAGGCTACCAGTGAAACTGTTGAAGCCCGTCGCAAGAGCAATTGCGTCTACAGGATAAAATCCGCCGTCCTGGGTCTTGATCCCATTGGACTTGATGGCTGCAGTGACGCGACCAGCCTCGCGCAGGTTCACCAATTCCACATTTGGGCTCTTGAACATCTCGAAATAATCTTGCTCGAAGCACGACCGGTTGGCTCCGATCGGGTGTGGCGGCTCCAGAGGGGCCAGGAGATCTCTCTTCGACGGGTCGGCTATCCTCGCTCCATCTTCTTCGATCGAAAGTCATAAGCCTCTCGGTTTGCCTTTTCGTCAACCAGCAGGACATTATACCGGCTTAGCAGGAAGGCAAAGACGCCTCGGTCGTAAACCTCCTCAAAAAGCGCTTCGCGTTTCTCCGCCGTGACCTCGAAGGTTGCGTGCGGACTCGGCTGATCCAGAAACCCGCTGGATGCCTTTTCTCACTGCGCCAAGATGAGTGGTGCGTCCTCCTTAAGCACGTTTAGCCCCGCGGTGAAGAAAGTGTGCTGTCGCATAGGGAGCGCCAGGTTCGGTGTCCGCTGAAATGCCACCAGCGATTCCCCTTGTTTGGCCCAGGACTGCACAATCTGCACGCCGGAGGCCCTTGTCCCAATCACCGCAACCTTCCTCCCCTTCACGTCGATCCCATCCATCGGCCAAGACGCTGAATGACACACCTCCCCTTTGAACGTCTCTAGCCCAGGAAACTGGGAAACATACGGTTCTGCCGCAAATCCAACACATGAGATGAAAACTTGCGAGTGCGTAACTGGTCCCTCGACGGTTTAAATCCTCCACTTTCTCTTCCCTTGCGCATTGACATCGTACCAGGCCCCAGTCACGGTCATCTCGAAGTCTATGTCCTGCTTGATCCCAAGCACCTGGATCCACATGGGCAAAATACGCCCTTAGCTTGTTCGCAGAGGGATACTTCTCCTTGGAGGACCATGTCTCCGAGACCTCCGGGATGGATAGCTGGTAGATGAAGCCCAGTGTATCAATCCGACAGCCCGGGTAGGTGTGCCAGTGCCACACCCTGCCGAGGTCGGTCCCCGACTTGTTGATCCGACGGCGATAATCTAGTTTGCGAAGGCTGTAGAGGAGGTTGATGCCTGAAAAGCCGGCGCCGACGATCACAATGTCGTAGGAGGGTTTATCGATGGGCATCATCAGAGATTAGTAATGGGGAAGGCTGAGCGCGTGAAATGCTGCGAAGATGTGGAATACTAATAGCGCTGCAAGTTGATTAGGCGGATAGGGTAAATATATAAAATAATGCTATGGTTTCAATCCCAGTGTTGTAGGGACCTGACAAGATGAAATTAGCGCACTTGGATCGATGATAAGTATCGACCCCGACCAAAGGATCGCTGCCCATGACATCGTCATAGGTAGCTTATTGGTTGATTCGGTAGAGCTAAGGCACTGCGGGGCAATCCAATCTGTGCCTGTGCCCTGCTTGGCAAGGCTGACGGAGGCGTCAACGATAGCGTCTGGATCAGGGAGATTGTGTTCCCTTGATATGGGCTCTCAAGACCAGGTTGACTGCGAAAGCGGTTATTAGTGAGGTAGAGGTCAGTTGACGATTCCGGTCCTTAGAAAGAAAGCCCTACCGGGGTGAGTGGTGCACAATGGCCGAAGGCACAAATGTCCCTTGATCACCGGTGAGTACTGGTAATAAATAGCAGGTGACATCTAGGAGCAATTCATTTATATTACGACTCCTTGCTGACCGCATGCATTCCGGGTGGAGCATGATAATGTCCGGCACTGTGAGTGTGTGAGGAGATTCTTTCTTCACCTGTCGGATCTGTACTCCGAGTCAGACCGATAACCCTCTATTTATGACTTAAAAATCAGAACTCCCCTTGAAAGTTTGTTTAGCTTACTCTTCCACTTATACCTCTTGATCTTAGTGACTCCTTCCTCCCAAGTAAATGGCTTACATATTCGGCAACCAAAGCTTGGATTTGCAAAGTACCTTGGCTGGGATCATGAGTTCGGGGCAATTCAGTGACCTCCAGTTTATCTGCAATGGACAGCACTTCAATGTCCACAAGGCGATTGTCTGTCTTTAGTCTCCTCCGATCAAAGCAGCCGTGGAGGGGAACTTTCAAGTACTATTCCTGCTACCCAGGAAGTGCTATAGATAGTATGCTAATGAGCCCTACCTTAATCAGGAATCCCAATCAGCCACCATCATCATGGACAGCTTTCGGCCCAGCACAGTGAAGGCTCTTGTCGAGTATCTCTATACTGGCGGGTATGGCAGCCTTGCAACAGATGATAATGCCACAGTCGTTTCCGAGACCTATTGCGATGCTGAATCATCGTTATCCACGAGCCCAGATCCCGCCACACTTCTCTTTGATAGCATTCGAGTTCACTCCATTGGTGATTATTATCAGATCGATGGACTCGTGACGGCTACAAACGACAAGATCAGGCACCTACTTCAGAACTCCGAGAACGATAAGTCCTGGGTCGCAAGTCTCCCCGCATTCAACTTGCCCTTCGTTCTACAGCAAATGAGGGGCTGCTGGATCTCTTGGCTGCGACAGCTGCTAAAGAATTATCTGCTATCATCGTCATGGAGGAGTTCAGGTCCTCTGAATTCATGCTCGGATTTCCAATCAGACTAATGCGTGGGTGCCTAGAGAAAATGGATCGCTTATTGGAAGCGATTGAGACTCTGAGGTCTGCGCTCTCGGACAAGGATGATGATATTCTTGATGAGAAACGTCAACATCAGGACACCATAGGACAATGTTGCCGCATGGAACGGTGTTTCCAATTAATAAACAGAACACTTTACTGCAGGAACATAAGCTGTGATGCTGAGTTTCGGTGCTCGGTTGATCCCGCTGAGTGTGCTGTCCGGTGCCAGAAATGTAGGTGCAGGCATACTTAATCCTTCCTTTAGTTTAATGAATCGTGTGCAATTGCTCATACTCTGATGGCACTGCATTAATGGATGACCTGGTATTCCTCTGGCTGAAAGCTCGAAACACTAAATCAATTGACATTTTCGGTTCCGGCAAGGGGACTTCTTTTATAAGATATGTGCAGCAAAGTGTGTCATGCTGTCTTGGCTGAAATGCTAGTCCGCGAGTACTCTTAATTCTGCCTGCACAAAAGCCATCCCTTGAGATATGTAGCGGCAGAACCTCCCTCCTCCTGGCAGCCAGTGGATTCTCAATGCCCAGCGATACATGTAGATAGTTTATACATGTCACCGGAAATGCAGAGAGTGGCACTCCCATCACCTAAATTTTCCACAATTCGCGCCCCCGCCCTGTTCGGTAATGCTGACTGGCGCTATTTTGACGTCGGTATTGGGGCGAATGCAACAAAACAGATAACAGTAAGTCGCAGGGACGGGTAATTATCTTTTGCCCGAGGCTTGACATCATTCAGAGAGCTGGACCGCGGCGCAAAGAGGGGCAAATGCAGAACAACCGGCAAACTACCGGCGGGAAAGCCCCTCCCTTACTCTCCTACAACACAGTGCATGGGCAGACAATTCCTTGTTGATCGGTCCCAGCACGAAACGATGTAGATAAATGCGTTTCAAGTTCCTCATCTGAGATTGGGAGCATCGATAAACCAGTATGTGTCTTACAGAGGAAGGGTCGTCAATCTTGCGCACTTAAGCAAATGACGTGAAGAAAACCGTAATAAATAATAATCCCTGTCGATCGTCACTGTGATAGATGTGGTAACCACGCTTACTTCCGCTCGGAGCTGGGATTCAGAAGCTTGCGTCAACTGCAGCCAAAGAGATCAGATCCAGTGTGTCGTGTTAGCAAAGATGGTTTGTATTTGGTCTGATGGTTACGACTATGTTTATTATATTTCATATAACATACAAGCATCCTTTAGTCTGGGGTCCTCCAGTACAACAAACTGCAACACCACTGGGATCTGCCTCGGACATTTCTCCAAAGGCCGCACTCCGAATCACCAAGTGGGCAATCCTATAGTAGCCACAACGAAAGCAAAGCATGATTCTAACTTAGTCCCACCAGGAGGTTGCCTGATCCTGCTCATCACTTGGCTCTACAAAGATCTCAGGGGCGGAGATGGGCTCATGCGTGACAGATTGATTGCCATAGCCTATGGACTGTTCAACCGGGCGTCTCTCTACATTGCTCTCGGTGGCTATGCCCTCGCCCCGCAGGGAGAAATGTGAATTGCCCTCATCAAAGGAGTGATTTGGACGACCATGCAGATCCAGGATCTGAAGGACCAACAAGGTGATCGTTCCCGTGGTCGTTTGTCGATGCCCTTATGGCTGGGTGACACAGTGTCACGCTGGCTCATTGGTTTGTTCACTTTGGCCTGGAGTCTGGTCTGCGTTGCATTTTGGAAACTCCCACTATGGGGGTTGTTTGCACCGTTGGGAATAGCAGTGTGCGTGGGGCTGCAGCTGGTCTTGCAACAATCAGCTGCAGCGGATGCCTTGGCATAGCGCTTATAGAGTTTGTGGTTGGTAACGCTTTAATTACTACCATTATACACTTCTTAGTCTGGCCAGTCATCACGCTGGATCAATATTAGGTGTGATTGAGACCAGGTATATAAGAATGTGGCGGCAGAAGGCTGCTTTGCCCTAAGTTCCTGTACTATACTGCTCAATTATGTTAACCCTACCTAAACCCCCTCGTAAAATCAAACCAGATACACTACCCCTGGCCGAGGCAACATAGATTCCCTTTCCTCTCCTCTTAAGACAGCCGACTACATCGTTGTTGGTAGGGGCACGTCAGGTCCGGTAGTAGCAAATCATCTTTCGGAGAACGCCTCAGTATCTGTTCTGGTTTTAAAGAGTGGCCCGGACCAAACAACAGACCCTTGTATCACAGACCCCATGGCCTGGCCAAGTTTGTCGGGCTCGGATCTCAACTGGCAGTTTACAATAGTATCCCAGAAGGGACTGAATAGACGTTGCCAAGAACATCCGGCCGGACATGTGCTGGGCGGTTCATCCGCCATCAATGGCCTGGCACTTGTCCCTGCATCTGCTGCGGGACTGAATGCCTGGGAGCAGATGGGAAATCCCGGTTGGAATTGGGAGACATTGGGAGACATTGTCCGGGTATCTCCAGCGCTCTTTCAACGGACCGGGTCCGATTCGATCGTCCTCTCCGGCCCTGGCACAGGAGGGAAACCAGCCCCTCATTCAAGCCTGGAATGCTGACTTCAGCGACCAGGCGTACGCTTATACAAGTGAACTGGTCGTCGAAAACCCAGCAGTTGGCACTAGACCGTATAGCGCGACTATTGACCCTGAATGCGCCCGACGAAGCAGCGCGGATGTTGCATATGGCGCAGTGGCAGCGCAACGGTCCATCGCATTGTGTTTGACTCGCCAGCAGTCGGGGGCCAGCATCGAGCGACCAGGGTCTGGGTCGAACTTGCCGATCACCCAAATCCGTAGCTTGTTCACGCCAACCAAGAGGTGGTGCTTGCAGCGGGAGTCTTCCAGACCCCCAAACTACTGGAGCTGTCGGGGGTGGGCGACCCGGCCGTGCTGGCTGCACACAATATCCCAGTCGTGATCGGCAATCCAGGCGTTGGGGCCAATCTGCAAAATCATTTGATGGCAATACTCTCTTCCCCACTGTCCCGGATTCCTGAGACTCGGGATCTGAACCCAGGACTTCAAGCCCTCGCCTTTGTGCGGCTCGACGACCAAGAGGATCTGCGCCTTCTGGATCAATTCCTGTCGTCCGACAGATCGGCGGCTTCGGGGCGCGCGCAGGCCATTGGATCGATCCTGGCTAACCCCAATGAAGCTTTAGCCTGCGTGTTCTTGGGCAAAATGCCTGGGCCGGTGGCATTGATCGTTCTGATCCCTCTGTTATCCGCTGTCTGTTGGTCACACGCACATCGCCTCTGCAGATCCCAACGCGAAACCCAACATTGATCCGCAGTTCTTCTCGCGCCCATTAGACTTGGAACTTATGGCTCGTCACTGGTAGGCATTACAGCGCCTTCCGATTGCCCCTTCATTGCGGAAGTTCTTCGATCGTAATGCCGCTCCCACCGAGGCAAGTTTGAAGAACACCAAAGCCGCATTGCGGGAGGCGGCACTCACCACGCACCATGCTTGCGGCTCCGCCGCCAAGCTACCTTTAGAAAAGGGGGGAGTGGTCGATACTACGCTGACTGTCTACGGGACAACAAATCTGCGTGTGGTGGATGCCATTATCTTCCCTCTGATGTCCCATGCGAAACCCGATGGCAACGGTGTACGCGGTGGCCGAGCGAGCCGCAGACATTCTCAAGGGCTTGTAGTACTCACAACCATGTAAGAAGGGCTGTGTTGGTCTGGCGGTAACTTTCGAATTACTCAACTATGAATGCGTGGAATTGAAACGAATCAGAAGAATCAATGGTACTAATTTTGTCGAGAGCGCGAAATTGTAGGCATTGCGCAGTTGATGTAGTCGGCAAGATTTTTTGATTGTGACATGGCTGAGCGAGGCATTGACCCGAAACTAGGGAATATACATAAATGTGAAGGGAGTGAGTATAGCCTCAAATCTCAATCTCATAACCAAGAGCTTTTGACCCGAAGCATGGTGGCTAGGTCATCTCCTCTCCTGGAAGTCTTGCTGTCTGTGGCCAGCGGGGCTCCCGCAGCCCTACTCTTCAACCCCTCATCTACCTCCAAAGCTCTCTCGCACGATTGAATCCTCATTGATTGCCATTGGGACCTCGTCCCCACTTCCATCGACGTTTGTAGATCTGCTACTTGTATAAGTTAACTGCTTAGGATTGATGTGTGTGGGATTGTGTGCAAGCATATCTGTTGGATGAGTCAGCATAGGCGCATAAGTATGGCGATAACTTACCCAGCCCTGTAGTTACTCCGTACCGCACAACAAATTCAGGTTGAGTCCATGCTGAGTGGTAAAAACCACTTCCGATGCTATTGTCACGCCGGGTTGCCAAAGGGGGGAGGGAGATAGGATTTTTTTTATGTTGTATTCTGTCTGATCACTTGAGCAAGTTGGCTTCTGCCACCTTGTTTTCTTTGTGCGTAAATAAATTTGGCGCACCCGGCTTTCCCGCCGTCCGGATATCACGGCAAAACCGGCAGTGTCCGGGTGTCAGTCTGGAATACGGAACCGTGGTCATCGATGATAACGATCGTAAGGCTGACTGCGCTTGGACGGTTCTCATAAAGACCATGACGTATCCTGTAGGGTGCTGAGTTATGTCATACTCGCGGAAAGCAGGAGGGATGAGGGATTTTGGCCCACTCGGAACATCGGGGGTTTTCAGCCCTACAAGGCACAGGCAACAGGCACGGGCATGGAACAGGGCCCACTCCTCTGGTCCACTCGCCAATCTGGTTTGATGATTCAGCCAAGATTTCTGGCCGACTCGACTGGAAAGCTTGACCAGGCTGATGCATTAAGGAAATCTTTACCTTAAACCGGCATGACTGCCACAACCATGATGTCATGAACCTGTCGTCAGTGAAGGGCTTGTCAGCATATGAACCCATTCATGTGTCTGCCCGGAAGTCAATCACATAGTAGCATACCTCTAAAGTCCACTACGTCTCATTCTTCGCACAAGTCCAAATGGCAACGACCTCCGATAACTCGCCCCACGTGGCCTCTCTCCTGCACAAGAAACCGCATTACCACTCCGAGCTGGGTTCCATCCAAGCCATCACTGCTGACGACCTCCCCATCCTCAAGAATCTGTCCATCAAGCGTCTTCGTCTGGCGCGCAATGCGATCCGTGAGCCCCACTGGCACGCCAACGCCAACGAGCTAGCCTACTGCTTACACGGCAAGGTTCTCATCTCCATCCTCGACAGCGGTAACGAGTTCTCGGTGTTCACCCTGAACCCGGGGGAGATGTTTTTCGTGGAGTCCGGCTCCCTGCATCACATTGAGAACATCGCCGACGGGGAAGCAGAGCTCATCATTTGTTTTCGCCACGAGCGCCCGACAGATTTCTCCCTCGCCGCCTCGCTAGGGGCGATGAGCGATACGGTCCTGGGCAACACCTACGATCACCACGCCTCGGACTGGAAGAACATCGACCGGGATACACAGACCAAGTACATGGTCCGCCGGCAGGGAGACGTCGATCTGCCTCGCACTGCTCTCCTGCCGAACCGCCACAAGTTCGACGTCGAAGGCATGACGCCCCCAACCTCCCATGATTTCGGCACGGCACGAACAGCCAAGAGTCAGTTCTGGCCCGCCCTGCCCAACATGTCCATGTATTCTCTGCGAGTGGAGGAGGACGGCATGCGGGAACCACACTGGCATCCGTCGACGGCGGAGATGGGATACGTGGCTGAGGGCACGGGGCGCATGTCGGTCATGGACCCCGACGGGTCGGTCGATACTTATATCTTGAAGCCCGGCGATGTGTACTACGTCCCCGTGGCCTATCCCCATCAGATTGAGGCAGTGGGAGACGGCAAGATTCACTTCTTGATCTTCTTTGATCAGCCCATGCCGCAAGACGTGGGGTACCGGAATGCTGCCACGCTGCTGACGCCGGAGAGCATGGCTGCCACCCTTGGGGTCGATGTCAAGAACCTCCCCCAGTTCCCTCACACCCCGAAGGATCCACTGATCGTGAAGAAGCGCAACGAGGTGGATCCCGTGAAAGCTAAGCTCTGAGGATCCTGCCTGGGCTGCGGTTATCTGCATAGGTAGTGCTCCCTGACAGGATGTTCGATGCGTACTATCATAACTAGCATATCTCACCTACTAGAGTATAAGTATGAATGATTGAGAAGCAATGTATAACAAACCTGGTCATTCCCTTGAAAGTGCTAGACCTCTCTCGTGCAGCATGTCCACAACCCACTGGACTTCGTCCACCAAAATCTCCGGTCGCGTTACAGGCAAACTGTGGCCCTCGTCAAGTACCTTTTTGAAACGATTATAGCCCGACAGCCGCAGCTCGCCTGCTCGAAGCTCGTCATTGAACAGTTGCGCCTGCTCGAAGAACCGCGTGCACTGCTCCCTCTCTTCCGACGTCCCATTCCCCATTTGCACTCCTGCTTCATAGATCAATCGGAATTCCTTGGTAAAGTCCGCGCAAATGACACTGAGAGGTGCATTCCCAAGCACTTGCCGGGCAAACTGCTGTTCCCTGAGCAGCCGCTTCGCACTCAGCCTGGGGTTCTCCAGGGCACTCGGGGCACCGCCGCCCGTGAAGAAGAGCACGACGGGGCAGCCGGGCCAACGCGGGGGGCCGGAGGTGGAGATGAACAGGCTGTGGGTCGAGATGTGCACCAGACCGGATTGACTTGTTGTTTCCCAGGGGTTGTTGGAGAGTATTCGAAGAACCATGATGAATGTTGTAAGGGGTTAGATCGGTGTCGAAATACAGAGACGATCTGAGGAAACAATGCACTGTCAACAAACCTCTGCGAGCGGGGAAATTATGCATGCATTGCTTAGTTAGTCACGCACTTCATAGCCTGCATAGCGCAGATTACTCGTTGCTGCTATAGATTCAGAAAAACCGGGACATATATGAGAGTATGTGAGACAATGACAAGACAATGAACGATGATAGCAGATAATCAACGAATATATAAACCAAGTTATGACCCCTCCTACTGCGGCAAGCTTCGCACCTCACCCCGAATCCCAAATTCAGGCAGTGCACTTGGTGGCAGCACTCACCCACCCAGTCAACCGGTTAGCGATGTCAGAAGCGTAACAAGCCGTCGCTCCAGCTCCACTCAGGTTACCAGAAGACGGGATGGACCAGGCTCCCGAGTTGTACATTCTGGCCGCCCGATAGAAGCCCGCAGCATTGGTCCGGGCAGACTTGTCCAGCAACGAGGCGAGACCATATCCATCAGCGTCGCTAGTTCCAATAGCTGGCAGGCATTAGCTGGATGACCTAGAGACACATTACCGATGCGAAAAACATACCTCCATCCTTAATCATCTGCACGATCTCCGTCTTAGGGCAGGGATTCTTCACACTGCCCCCATTGTTGCAGGTCCCAGTGCCCTGGTAGCTCTGCATCAGGCCGGGGTTGCTGACACTGTATGTCGAGGTCGGGGCCCGTACGCAACCCTTAGACTCCTGCATCACCACCGCCAGGATAAAGCGGTGGTCGACCTTCGAGCTGGTGGCCACCTCCTGGATCGCATCGTACAGCTCCTGGGTCTCAGTCGCGGAGTTGTCGGCCACTCCGAACTGAGCACAGGATTTCCCGATGGTAGCCTTGTTGGCACTCCACCTGTGTGTCTTTGTTAGCCAGAAGCTGCGATGACGTGAATCACAAGGCATGATAGTGGCTTACATGTTCTCGAACGAGACCCTAGAGGAACAATTAGTACGAAGACTCGAAGCGGGTACTGACGACAAACTCACCAGTCAGACTCGGCGGGCCAACCAGCGCTGGTCGACCCGTCCCCAGTGTACATGGTGTAAGAGTCCTTGCCAGCCCCTTTGCCATCATTGTTATTGATGGAGCTTACTGCCAGCCCGCTGACAGTCACCGTTGCACTGGTAGACCGGGAGCTCAAGCCATCATTGCGCTCAGCGATTTCGACGTTGCGGTCGCCGATTGGAGCAGCAGTAGTAATTCCAGCCAGAGAGCCGGCTGCCACAATCTAGTCACAGAGATTAGGGCTGGTCTACAAAGTTGGAACGGCATCTTGCTGCTCACATTAAGAATCTGTGTCCAACGCATTTTCGAATGTGGTGCTTGAGGAGATCTGACAAAAAGTAAATCAAAATTGGAAGAAGAGAATGAGTGATAGTTGGAAGTGCTGTCGTTGCAAAAGAGTGTGGTGAAACTACCTGGTAGCTTCAGAAAGACTTGAGAAGGAATGGATGAGTCGAAATCGGCTCGAGAGTTGGGACTTGGTCGCTTGATGCCAGACATATTCAACGACCAGATATTCAGCCCTTTTATACTGCGAATCCAAGACGAGATTCATGACCAGAGGCGAAAGTGCCGAGAGATCATTAGCAATGATGAAACATCATTGTTGGTTGGCGGGAACAGGTAGACGGGCGTTAGATCGCTTGGAAGCAGTTTAGACTGAGGGAGTAGAGCAGTGATGGTCTTCAAGAACGCATGCTGAATTTTGTAGTGTGACTAAGGGTTCAGCGGGGCATGAACACCCTTAATCTCAATGAAAGAGATGATGGAGCAACCGTGGGTCATCGGCCAATGTCTTCCGAAGAACACACTTAATATCTGTGCTTATTCGCAAAACAGATGTAACACATCTGCCAAGTTCCAACAAGTTAACTCCGGGCTCATTTGCCACAGTTGACTAGGACAGTAGTATCAGGATGAGGCTGTGTAGCCAGCAGCGATCTGTTGTAGGTACCATGGAAAGTAAATTCTGGAATCGCGAGGCACCAGCTGGAGAGTTGAGATTGGTGTAGAGCAAAAGAGGTTGAGTTTGGCCTGAGAGGGACAACCTCGTGGACACACTAACTGCCTAGTGCTGGATGCTCACTATGCTAGTTTTCACCAGTGGACGAATCGGCTTTTGAAAGAGGTGTTCGCGACCTGGCGTAGTAAGCTAGTGACGGGCAACAATGTGACATAGCGAAGTTGATCTTCATTAGTCGACGAGGCATTCTTACACATGGGGTCCGTTTCAGTGCCGTAGGCAGAGTGGAGAGCCCTAACCGCTCCCGCGATGGCGTACAGAGGCTCAGCGTGGGGGCCATCGCGCAAACCACTCCCGATGTCATTCCAACATTTGGACTCGCTTGGCGTCAAACCTAGTCCCTGGCTAAGAACGGGCCGAATTGAGGCGATCTGGTTGCATGTTGCATTTCTCGGTCCAAGTCAATTAGCTCCACCGCTAGCCCCCAAGCGCAACATCAGCTCGTGCTCCTATGCGGAGGTTGAGGTTGGTAAATCATCGAACCCTTAACTGCAGTGACAATCCCGAGTGTACTACCTCACCTGGCGATTTTATCACTCTTCTTGATTCTCACTTCAGTGCTGACGTTGTTGAATTTGCACCCCCGGGGCTTTGGGACCACAGAGTTTTGTGGAAAAGGAACATTTTCAGAGAAACAGATCGGGCAAGAAATGTGGAAGAGGCAGCACTCTGACCTGGTTGGAGCGGTAGATTTGGATCTTGTCTAGTGGTGTCTGTTGCTTTTGTAAAACTTGGATGATCAGGTCCAGAAACAGAGGCATGCGGTTATGATCACTGGCAGGCTGCAGGGTTGGACGCATCATCAAAAATGACACCAGCTTGTCCAGCCGGACAATAACCTTGCCACCTCGATTCGCCGCATAAGAACCGAAAGAGCGACGCATTTCATGGGAGTCTTGATCGACAGCTTTGGAGGACACTCACCCAAAAAATGCAACCGCCAGGCTACCTCACACTCTCGCCCGACGGGTCCCATCAAACAAGCCAGAAGACCAATTTCAGGCGTTTCCTCCTATAACTGCTCGCAGGTATCGTGTACTTATTGCCCTTCCTATACATTACTCGCCATTTCCGATCAATCCAGTATGAGGGTTCTAGCGAGCGAACTCCACTAGGCTATGGTATGAGTAGACCTTTCCATCCAACCCTCACTGCGGTGAATACCAATCTTAACTCCCACGCAGCGTTGAGACGGCCCCTCTCCACTATCTACACTCGAATATATTGGCACACAGAGTACAGCCCACTCGGAAAAGCGCACTCAGAAAGCGATCATCTCTGGGACATCATTCTCCCTTCCCATGGCTTCATTGCAGTTGACCGCCAATGGGCAGCCGCTCGGAATTGGCCGGACACTATGTCTATGCCCAACGATACCAGCAAAGGAGTTTATCTACTAGAGGCCTATCATCATTTACATTGCCTCGTGAGTGATCCAGATAATGTTGAGCGGGACTGGAAGCTAAGAGCTTGATTCCAGCGCATCATGCGAACCACCTTCTGGGAAGCCGTGGAGCAGCGCCCTTTCAGCCATCCAGGCGGCATGGGACATGTTGAGCATTGCTTTGATGCCTTGCGACAGGTATGATATTATTGAATAGCAAACATAGGAGTTGCTGACCACCGCATTCATTAGGCCATCCAGTGCTATGCAGACGATACTCCGCTTTACACCTTTGGAAAATTCACGGCTGGTGATGGCCAGGTGCATCAATGCAGGAGTTGGCATGAGCTTCGCGATTTTGCCACCAGTTACACCGCTTGCTATCGAGACAGTGTTCCGCCGATTCCCCTGGGAGATCATTTCAGCTTCTGTGACGACGGCCGTGACGGGTTGGAAGAAGGTGCAGATCCGATGTAAGGGGATGCGTGGCCATGGAAAACAAACGTCACTTGTCTGCAATGGCATCTCTTGATCGGGAATATTTCACATGGATACCGCATCGACAACCAGCAAAATGACACACGTAAGCTTGGATACCGGCGATCGTCATGAGTGACAAAGGTATGATACTCAAAGATCTCTTTCGAATAGCATCGTAAGATATGCTTCTTTATTCAAACACTCCATAACAACATATTATATAAATGTACACGACTTTGAAGTCTTTCGAGGTTCCACGGGACCTGAGACTTACTTATAAGCCATCACCATATTAGGTCTGGGAACGACGTAACCCTGATATCTGATACTGTAACCGCGATGGCCGACGAGTCTCCCGAGCTTACTCCCGAGGTCATTGAGGCCCGGAAGGACTTGTGTACCAAAGTATCTCGCCGGTATGTAGAGCTCAGCCGCGAAGTCTACAAGCCGGCGTTCCGAGATTCACCGATCACGCGCCGGCTGGGGCGAATCGACTTTGATCTTCTCCGATTCCTAGGGCTATGCGTGTATGTTCTGAGGCAATCTCGCGATATGGATTACTGGCCCAGCCCCTTCTTTCTAGGCCAGCTTGAGGTGGTGTCAGTGAGTTGGGGTCGGTTTAGTCGATTGTATGACAAGATCTGTGCTGAGCGCATACAGAAATTTGCAGACATCGACAGCTGGGTCGCCGAGTTCGGGCCCGAGATCCTGCCTACACTAGGGAAAGAGTGGCTTCCTAGCAATTGTCCCTCTCGGCTGATCACTCTGCAGGATGCTACCGTGCAGCGCATTGTCCGCGGGATCGTGCAGCAGTACCTCGGCGTGGAGGCAGCAGACCGGATGGGGATCGACAATCTCCCCACGGCACCTCGGTCGCGCCAAGAAAACGAAACCTGTCTGATCTGCCAGCAGTCGCTCGCGGAAACGCAAAGAGAGCCTCTCGAGTGGTGCAAGATCCAGTGTGGCTACGCCTTCCATTCCCGATGTGTGATAGAATGGTTTGCGTCCCCGCATTTGGTGCACTCTCCGGCCCGATGTCCACATTGTCGCCAGCTATGGCTCGCGCCAATGGTGGGCCTGCTGGGTAGTGTCTGGCGAGAGGATCTGTCGCTGGCATTATTCATTCTTTCTCTTTCATCGTAGAGAGGAGAGGCATGTCTTTCATAGGCGCGCCCGTTTGACCCATTCACTAGAAATTTTCATTAATTTCCAGTCGCACCTCATTGCACCTATCCAACATCGTAGCCACTCCTCTCCAAATCCCACGCATAGATCATCGCGGCTGAGAGCCTTAGTGCGACCGCACGCTTAGTACCTGTAGCAAAGCAGACCGTGATCCTTCCCCTAAGGGGGAAATGATTGGCAGTTGAAACAAACAAAAGAGCGGTCACAGCTAAGCAGAGCATGGCAAACAGGTCAAGGAAAACCAAACCTGCAGGGGCAGTGATCATCCCAAAGTCACTGTGCACCATGCACGGCTACTCTGATGCAGTCTGTTCCCCAGATTCAGAAAAGAAGTCCAACTCGTCTTCGATCAGCAGCAACTACTCGGTGGAGGAGGGGTGTATGATGTCCCACCCCCTCTGGTCTCTTAGCTCTGGTCCCTCGGTAAAGCTACGCGACAAGCAGTGTGAGAACGGCAATTGACAGACAAAAGGAACCTGGGAGTAAGCAAAGGGCTGGAAGTGAGGCTAGACCCGTGGATGCTTCTGGAGTCATGGTTAGGGTTGCCGTTGCCGCCAAACCCGAGCTGCTGATCCCACACAAGGCTGGCAGTTATCTTCACCCAGTCCAGAGTCTAATCCCAGTAGATTAATTGGCCGCTGTAGCCACAAGCATCCCCCCCCCTCCCAACCCGCGCGCCCCTGTCTTCAGTCAAGCTAAGTCATATACAACTTAGGGCTGGGCTCACTATCACAGCACCGACATGCCTCCTTGGCAATACTACTCATCTCACCCCGAGATGGCTCGACGCTTTGCCGCGGCAATGTCTTCATTTGCCAATGGCCACCACAATGCACCGTCCTTCCTCGTTCCGGGTATGATTGGGGTCAGTTTGAGCAAGGAATGGTCGTAGATATTGGCGGATCAAATGGCAACGTGAGCAGCCTTCTAGCCCAGCGATACCCCGAGCTCCGCTTGATCGTCCAGGAGTTGCCGAGTGTGGTCGACGGCGCAGCGGAGAGTCTGCCAAATGACGTGCGGGATAGAGTGGAATTTCAGGCGCACGACTTCTTCACGCCGCAACCTATCCAGGCCAATGCGTACCTTTTCCGGAACATCTCCCACAACTGATCAGACTCGCATGGCGTCCGAATTCTTCAGGCGCTGGTACCAGCCTTGCGACCCGGGGCTCGGATTATTGTGAACGACTACCTGCTCCCTGAGCCAGGAACACTCTCCCTGCTGAAAGAGCATGCTGTCCGGTATATACATACCCTCCTTCCCAAGCCGATAGAGGCCGAATTGCTTACGTCATTATCCAGGGACATGGACATGATCATGTTTACACTCTTCAATTCCAGGGAGTGAGAAGAAGCGGACTGGATTGAGTTGTTCCGCAAGGCTGATTCTCGCTTTGCCAAGCTACGTATCTGGATGCCCGAGGGAGCAGCGATGGCTATCATTGAGGCCGTGTGGGAACCATGAAGGGCTACAAAGATGAAGTAGCATGTGTCATTTATTTGTCAAGTTTGAATCAAGATTGATGCCATATACAGCAGTTCAATTGTTTTATTAAAGCCCTCCCGTCGCCTTCCTGAGCCCAGCAAGTACTGTGGATTAGAGCACAGCGGACGTCTAATAGCCGTCTCCGATCGCCGAAAAGTCGACTACATCGGCGGATTCAAAGTCTCGTTTAGTGTCTGTATCACACACGTTAGTCACATCAGTAGCCCGGTAGCTTTTGATGTGAATGGCCGACCAAAGGATGTACGTGCGGCAACGTAGATGAGGGTCAGAATAAGGGTGACTGCGGACATGTAGGTAAAAAACCACATGGTGCTTTCGAATCTCGGGAGGCAGGTCATGAAGACAAGGAGTAGAGATTGACACTTGTGCTTTGCAAATTGGGTGAGGAGGACTTGATGGTCGATTTATGAAACTGGCCACCCCAGGCGAGTAGAAACTTCATAAATACCTAGCAGATACGCTTACTGATACTGTTCATCGTCCACCCTTTTTGTCATGCTTGAAGGCAAACGACCATCAAATAACCCAACTAGCACAGTGCATATTCTGTGGCACGACGATGTCGATCAGGAATCTGAATGTCAATTGTTGATTTTCAAGAACAGGCAAACAAAATGTAGCCCTTGCACCCGTCGCAGGCACAGCCCCCCACCCCAATCTCGAACACCCCTTCCAGTCTTTTACTTTCCTTCGTCTTCCGATGCCCAGCAACCACGAAAAGAGTACTAATATGTGACACTCGCGGCTCCTTTGCAAAAAAGCATCCGACCCGGCTCCACGCGAGACGCACCTTTTTCTGGCAGAGTAAAATGACTTATGTCAATGACCACAGCGTGCTTGGGGTGGGCATTCTGTTCACGGTGCTGGGCACGGTGGCCATTACCACCCGCTTTTATGTTCAGTGCCGGGGTAGACGACTGGGAGTGGACGACTGGCTTGCGTTGGCGGCATAGGTATGCTATCTGTTCTCAAGGATGAGATAGAGAAACCTAGCTGATATTGTGTCGTACCCGGCAGGCCCTCGTCACAGGCGAAGCCGTCATCATGATGATCGGTAGACCTTTTCTCTCTCCAGAACCTTATGCTGAATGAAATTGACGGAACGACTTGAGCAGGCTCCGCAACGCACACGGTGGGCGCCCATTTTCCCGCAGATATCGGCGCAGCCATCCTGTACTACGACGGATGGGACCAGGTCTTGTTGGAAAGAGTAGTGCTCGCCTTCACTCATCTTCATTATCTTACTTGCACGTACTTATCATCTGCAGCTGGAGTTTCCATTCGACATCATGCAGCCCCTTGCCCTAGCCTTGCTCAAGCTATCTGTCCTATTCTTCTACCGGCGACTCTTCGTCGGACGGATCTTTGACATCGCCAGCTGGACCCTGATTGGCGTTGTAATCGCCTGGGGCATAACTTTTGTCATTGCGCTGACGACAACGTGTGGGGCGACTATCATGGCCAATTTCGGTACCCTGAACACCTTATGACGCACTGTGGTCATAGCTTTGCTGTCTTGATTGCGCTGACGGCATCGGACGTGGCCGTTGATCTCATCATCCTGGCCATTCCACTGCCGCTGGTGAGCTTTTCTGCATCCATACTGAGGGACAACACTATCAGAGAAGCGGTTTCCGATCACATCAGGTTCTCTGTCTCCACCTAGACTTGCATAAGCGCATTGGGATTATAGTGGTGCTGCTCGTGGGGTCAATGTGAGCGTCCCTTATCTCCTCCCCCACTCTGAACTAGTTACCTAAACTGAGATCCCAGGGCGACGGCGTGTGGCATCGCGCGCATGTCACTATTTGCTAGGATCCTCGGATCTAAACGTACAGTGTACCCCGGTATCCCAAGCGATGCTTCCCAGTGGCTGCACTAACCAAATGTTCGCAATGCTGTCCACACAAACCGTAGGCGGCGTATCCTCGAGCGATGACATCGGTGCGCTGACTCCCTGTTCCTGACCACAACCTGCTACCCAGACACAGAATCCAAACACAGCGCTAATACAAAGACTATAGGCATCGTCAGCATTCTCATGTTCTGGGGCATGCTTGAAACCGGGGTCGCGATCGTGGCGATCTGCCTCCCCAGCCTCTACCGGCTGGTGCGCGACGTCTCGCCCCGTGCGCGCCTACAAAGCCTGCTCGTGTTCCGACGGCTGCAAGAGTCGAAGGACGACGATAGCTCGTTTCTAGATGGTGCCGAATTCCAGCCAGGGCAAAGTTCTCTGCCTCGCAGATTCCACGGACTTGGTTCTATCCTGAAATCCGGTATGTGGCGGAGTGAAACGTCGCATGGAGAAGACAGTGGACCTGAAAATGATCCTAAGACGATGACAGTTGATGGCAATGCAGCGATGAAATTGTCTTTGGGCTTTACGGGAGAGCGAGGGGCTGAGTGGCCGCAGATGAGAAACCAGTCCACCATCGCTCTCTCAAAGCGGATGCATGCTGTCACGACTGATGCGGTGCTCAATGCGCAGCAGCACCCACCGAGGAGCCAGATCTGGGAGATGAAGGAGATTCAACGTACAGTCGAGGTGGTTTAAGCCGAAGGACAGGGACAAATTTACGATGTAGTCTATGCTATGCATTCCTACCCGAACTACACGACGTAAGCCTCTTGGATGACAGTAATATGAAATTATTCTACTAAAGAATGTAAGCTTTTTTCTTTTCCTTGCGGGCCAAGCTCCCCATGATTAAAGAGACTTTGTTATGAGTCAATCCCGGCCTCCCTACCGGAAACTCCTTCCATCTGACTCCCCCTCGTGCACAAAGTACTCGCGCGTGACAGCAATTCCGGCCCCGTTCTCCAGCGACAACGGCAACGCTCCGTGATCCTTGACCAAGCCATCCTCAGAATCATGGCGGGACAGATCATCGGGGGTGTTGGCCGTCTGCGTCACCGACACGGTGGTCCGCTGCTTGCTCGAGGGGCCGCCGGTGGTGTTGTACCCCGAGTTGGACAGCTCGTAGCCGCGCCGGCCGCTGTACGTCCCGGTGCGCGAGTGGCTCCCAAAAACCAACGAGCGGAGGACGGGCAGGCAGGAGGCTATGATGGCGATGGAGGCCTCGATCATGGAGACGGTGCAGGTAATCATTTGTTCGTTCAGGTGGGAGTAGATGGCTCGGATGACTGCATCAATCGTTAGACATGGCACTGCACGCTTCCTGGATCGATGGGCAAGACATACTGCTTGAGATGACGACCAAGACACCCAACAAGAAGACGGAGATGACACCCCACTTCTGCTTCTTGGGCATCTTCAGACGGGCGACCTGCGAAATGGGGAGACAGATGACTGTTCACCGGGTTAGTGAATCGAAGGGTTGTCTTGTGGTTGGCTGTGGTGTCTTACTGAAGACATCAGTGAAGATGTTAACTGCGACATGGTTAGCTTTGAGCAATTGCAGATCTAACACGGGGCTGCATACATAGAATCGTCAACCAATAATTGATCGTCGATGGCTTCTCCGGACATGCCACTGCATTTGTCGCGTTAGTATTGCTGATATTCACTACATCCTCACCGCATTTATATCCACTCACATTCCGCATCAAGCACGCTCCGCCATTGTCGAGAAGGAGGGTAGCACTTGAAGACAATGTCGAAGAACAGGACCAACCAAGTCGCCGCCAGAAGGGCCAGAGTGATGTTATACACGGTCTGGTACCGGGTGCGATCGGCGAGACGCTTGTAGAAGATCACCAGGCTGGCCTTGATGAGCCAGAGCGTCGTCACATAGAGGGTGGATCCGGGAATGATCATCTGTCACAGGGCGAGGGATAGTAGCCGCAGTTAGTCTCAGCGTAGTGGATGTGTAGAGGATTCGCGCGTGCTGCCGGCTTCGGATCGGGGCAGGGCACAGCGAAAGAGGGGCTCAGGATTTCGGGCGTTGTCCGAATGCTGTCCGTAAACTGACCTTCATCATGTTGATCATCTGCTCTGAGTCCATGTTGGCCGCATCCGACATGCCTAGAGGAAGCCCACCGTTAGATCTCGCTCGCACGGATCACTCTGCATGCAGGTGGATTTAGAACAGCGGGGGAAATAGCGAGGTACAGTACATACCCAGGTTAAACATATAATGCTGGATGACCAGATCTCCGATCAGGCAGAGCGCCGCCACGGTGACAAACAAATCGTCGAGATACAACCGTTTCAGCAGCCTCCATCGCACCCAGAGTCGACAGACGAGGAAAATGCACGCGATTATGGTGACAATGTACCAAGACACCTACCCATCGCGAACAAGTGCGTTAGCAAAAAAGAACAGCACTCTGAACAATCGCTGACGGCGATGACCTACCACTTGGCCGGTATCTGGACGACCCATGGCGACGAACAACCCACGATGCGGGCAGAAGGTCACGACAACAAAGACAGACGGAGACGAGAGAGCATCTCTGCAGCTGCTGCAGCTGCTGGCAGTCAATATTAATAAACTGCGATCGACCCGCGCAACCTGCCAGGGAGCGTTACGTGGTGAGGAACTTGGGAAAACCTTATCCCATGCTGGGAAGCTCGTTCTGGCGGTTTGTTTGGAGGAACCAACAAATGCAGGTGTTTGGATCGGGGAAAGTCCGCAGGGACCTCCCTCTGGAATCTGGATCTGGATTCAATGGTGTGTGGTTTTGTGTGTGTGTGTGTGCCTGTCTGTGTGTTTTCCATGTGGTGTGGCCACTGCTTAGGGGGAATGGGGGTGGTGTGGTTGTGTGGTGGTGGGCAGACCAGCACTGGAGGGGAGTATGGCCCGAGGCATTGGGACCCTCGTGGACCATACCATCTCGATAACCCTGCACGATGGAGAATCGGAGATCGGGGTCAGGGAAGGAAATCGATAGTCTACGAGCACATTGCTGGAACTGGCTGTGATTGCTCCAGGCAAAACTTCGGCGGCCCACAGTTAGGGTTGCCGATCCACCCAAGTAAAACATTCTTCGGACATCGTCCGTCGCCCCTACAGAAATCCTTTCTACAGGCTGCACAACATGGTACACCATGTGCGAACTATTGATTTCTAGAAGCCACTAACCAGTTCACGCCGTTACGCTGGGATCAGCCGGATGCAGGTAGCTGTGTGCTGGAAAGATCACAGGCTGGGATGGGAGGGCAAGCTTTGTACGGATCAAACTCTATCGGCGATTTGGACGCATTCGGATTCTGAAATGACGATGATTCACGTAGATTAAAAAGGGTTACTCAGGCTTAATCATGCAATGAGCCCGCTGACAAATCCCACAAAAGAAGTGAAAGTCTAATAACATGAAAAAAAAAATTATTGAATTAATGCCGAATGAAATGTCGAGGTTCGCTATGCTGCGCTGAACAGAATTCCCCCCCTATTTTCGATTCCTCTCCTTCATCTCTCCCCACTTAAGAGCTGGCAGCAGCAGCCAACTCCACGGGATTCTGGACCACCGGGTAGTTGGGGTAGTTGGGCTTGTAGACCTTCTGGCAGCGCTGGTTATAGGTGCCAGTCTCGCCCGTCTCAATGGCCTCCTCGTTGCCCGGCACACCCAGAAGGGCCAGAGGTCCGTTCACGGGCGTGGCCTGATCCCAGCCGGGACCAGCGCTGGGGTCCTTGATCCAGGCAACAAACCAGTCGTTCATGTAGTCGGCCAGGTCCTGCTCAGCCGCCGTAACTCCGGTCAGCTTGGCAAAGCACTCGTTGCCACCGTGGAAGAAGGGGACCTCGCTGCCGTGGGAGGGGCCGATGTCGGCGATACCCAGCACATTGGAGTAGTTGCCAAACCAGCGGTAGATCCAGGTGTTCTGCTCCTCCGAGCGCATGTCCAGGAAGTAGTCGGTCGCGCAGTGGAAGCGGGCGTCGCCGTATGAGGCACCGCTCATGCGCGAGATGGAGGAGTAGTCGTCGGGGTTGTAGGCCTCGAGCAGCTCATCGGCGGGCACAAACGCCAAATCGGCATCGTAGGTGCGGATCCACGAGGAGAAGTTGGTGTTCTCCGACCCATAGACGATGCCGAAAATCTTGCCCTCCTTGTCCGAGTTACCGACGATCAGCGGCAACGACTTGGGGTAGTGGCCGTTGACGAAACGGTCCGAGTAGTTGGAAAAGCGGGTGAGGTTATCCACGACGGGGCCAAACCACGTGTTGGAGGTCGAGTTGAAGTAGCTGGTCTGGAAGGCATAGGTATCCACCTTGCGCAGGCAGTCCAGAGTGTAGTCGTCGGCAGTGCAGTCCAAGGAAACACCCGCATCGATCATGTCCTGAACGACCTGCTTGAGAGCCACACCCACGGGGGCATTGGCCGGGCCAGACTGAGCGTTGGCCGACATCTCGATGGCACCGGCCAGGAAAGTGTCGGGGTGGTTCCAGAGGTAGTCATCAACGTGGACACCACCCGAGGAGTGACCTCCCAGCACGATGCGCGACTTGTCACCACCGAATGCTGTTCACACGCAAAGTCAGTGGGGACGGTTACCACGTGGGAGAGTGGGAGAGGGGGGGGGGGGGGGGGGGGGCGATGAAGGAATAAGCATCAGGGGAGAAAGTCAAAGTACGGACCTTCAATGTTGTCATAAATCCACTGCAGGGCCAGCTCCACATCCATGATGCTGAAGTTCTGCGACTCGCCCTCGAGCTCGGGAGCATAAGGAGAGGCATACATGCTCTCGCGGTAGTTGAAGTTGACGTAGATGACATCCTTGCGAGCAAAGTTCCATCCCTGCCATTGCTGGTTGCTGCTACCACCCGTGACCATCGCACCACCGTAGACGTAGACAAAGACGGGCAGGCCAGTACCACTGGGAGGGGTCCAGATGTTCAGGTTGAGGCAGTCCTCACTCTGGGCAACGATCGTCGTGCCGGACATGGCCTGGGCGCACGAGGGACCGAAGGCCGAGGCATCGAAGCTACCCCCCTCGTAGGAGGTGGCCGCCAGGGGAGCCTTCCACCGGTTCTCACCAGCCGTCGTCTGGGCAAAGGGAATGCCCAGATAAACATTGGTGTCGTTCTGGGAGAAACCATAGACAACACCCTGCTCGGTGGTGACGCTGGGAGAGGCATCAGCGGCACACCCCAAAGCCAAGGCGGTCGCACTCAGGCTCAAGGCCAGATTGGCACTCTTTTGCAGAAGACCCATAATGACAGTAGCAAAGATGAAGTGATCTGCAAGGAATCTGAACGGTGCTTGGTCGGGGGGAGAGGATGGCTCAAGATTGGGCCTGTGGGAGGAGTATTTAAGGAGTTTTGGGGCCAGGGGAAGATCCAGAGAATGCTCGCAAAACGGCACACCGGATCGACTGCCGAGCCACCCCGATCCAGGCTACCAAATTAGCTGCTCAAACGAACCTAGTCTCGTTTACACTTCTTCTCGATGAACGCTAAAGTACGACTCAGACCATGGTTACACATGATTACACCGTTCATTCCTGCACCTAAGCTAAGACGAGACCAATAACTCCCCTTCAGGTGGGGGCTACCACATGGCATCACACGTGGTGCAATGAGCTTGGCTTTCGACTATCGATTTTTCGAGTCAGGTTCCCATCGGAAAACCAGGCAGGATGTACAACTGCGATATCACCTCGTGGTGGTGGCTGTTTTCCTGCGTTCTGACTGCTGGGTTCTGAGTCTCTTCTCGTGAGGATCCTCTGTTGGAGCACGGAATGGTCGAAACGAGGCAGACACCGGGCAATCCGTTGGGATTCCTGACTAGTCGGCTGCTGTTTTTACCTAATTGCATGTGCTATACATGTGCTATCTCGGTGGTATCTGAAGGATTGAGGGATAGGATTTGCTGCTGATCGTCTACCTCGTCATATTCGGATGATCTGCCGAGATCTGGTTTGCCCACGTGGGAGTTGAACGCTAGTTTTCCCGGACAATTATAGTTCTCCTTAAGCCAATTCTCCGACTTGTCCTTTGAGATGGATTTGAGTAGGATAGGGGCGTGGGGGGAGGGTAGGCAATTGCCTGGTCGACCGGACGAGTATCCGGCTTCACTCACGGTCGCAGTGGGCTTCTAACTGCTGCAGCATCTCCGATCTTCACACAGTCTCAATTTACTGATGTATTTACTTTGAGTCGAACATATTACAGAATTGTAGATAGCAATCCAGCGTCACTGTTTAAAGATAGATGAAATATAGAAGAGACATATGTTCTGCGCTGGAGATATATCCTCGGGAGCCACGCCGTCCGAGGAGGTGGCGGAGATATATTTCTATGCAACCTAGCCCTAACCACCCGATGGCAGCGCAAACAATTTGAGCAGAATATCCTCTTTGGCTACTGAATACATTGGGAACAGTGTGATTTGAGGAGTGACACTGCTACCTGTAGCCGTGACATGCAGTAATTTATCAAAAATCAAAAAGTAACTATAAAGCATACACAATCGGGGGAGGGAATAAGAAGTCGTCGCGAACGTGTATATTGCCACATGCGAATAGAATATAAGAATCGCATTTGACCAGCAACAAACATGCCAAGAACCAGGGAATCAGAATTTCAAGTCCGGGCATGGAGAAAATTTTCACACGCAAAATGCGACCGAGTCGAAATTGCATCATCTTCGAACACTGAACCGGGGAACCAGCAGTTGGCCGACCGAGGAGGAAATATCCACGGAGGTTGCTCTGCAATAGTTATGCTATGCAGCTTACATAGCATAAGTGGGGAAAACACCCCGAGACGAGAGCCAGTCCCTGATTTCCCTGGAACTTAAAAGATCACATCCCGTACCGGTATGGCCCTAGGGTTACAACTTATGGTAGTTGAATCTGCTGCCATCGTATCGCAAATCCATGTCGCATGCTCTCGCCACAATGTGAATCTGTCAACATGTCATATTAGTCTAAATAAATTAACAATCCGGGGATCCAATTTACTGCCCGCCGCCACAACCAAGACCACTGCTTGGCAAGCGCCTCCCACCTCGCAGCAGGCAAATTTACCCGCGTGATGAATTGCCCTCCAGTTTGTTGAGATGCGAATGAGTTTGAGGCTGATTGGCCACGCCCGGAACTTTGTTTCAATGCGGTTTCAGGGGTCGGCTTCTGTAACGCTTGTTGTCGCATGCATCGCTGAAGAGCCACCGAGTTGGTCCTCGCATCAGGGCTATATTTGGTCACTTGAACAGAGACAGGACTGAGGTACGGAGTAGTCCGACTCGAATTGAAAAGGCTGATCGTACTGCTTAGATGTGTCCATCATTGTACTGTACAGTTCAGCACATTGTTTCATAGTGATGAAAATTAGGGCACGATGCTTTCAGTACAATCTCACCACAGTACGGTATAACAAAGACAACCCTAGACCAGGTAATGGAGCATCTCAGCAAATCCCAATGTCCCTACTGGAGGTCCACGTAAAGGCAGAAGAAACATGATAAGCATTTTCGTTCTCATCGTCCTCAAACCATGCTTCTATCACATCGAACACGGGTCTATAAATAGACCACACCCTGCTCAGCATCCAACTTAGCCTTCTACACTTACATTGGACCCTAAAACCTGAGACCGAACAAAACCATAGTGCATGGCCCATAGACCCTCTGTACCAGCAATCATGGCTAGCATCGCAGACTCCGACTCGACGGCCGTCATGTCCGAGAGAGGCGCCATTGAGTGGGAGCGCGTACGAGGGATCCGCGACAGCACGCGTGCCTTCCTGGAAGCCGAGTCGCCGTACATCGCCATGCCCGCGGTAGCCCAAATCCTCCAGATTGGATCACGCACCTTGATCGTCCGGGTGCGGTGGGAATGGGCGCTCCGCGATCCCACTCGAGAGGAAGTCGGTGGCATGGTCAGCACGCTGTGTGGACAGTTCGCCCAGCTGCGGGCCCAGCGCCCCACGGCGGAACCCTTCCACGGCTTCATCCAGATCGGGCCCGTCGTCGTCCTCTACGCGGAGGTGCGGTTCATCCCCGCCGCCCCGTGTCAGGGAGCGCTCTGTATGCCCGGGGAGACGCTCTCGGGCCTGACCCGGAGCTACCATATCGAGGACGATAGCCCTATCCTGCAGCACTGGCTCGAAAATGAGGTAACGCGCAGCTCCCCGAGCCTTCAGGAGATGGCGGCTTGGGGAATACCTGATTATGGACAGGTCTTCAGGATCAGGTAAGTGTTCTCACATTGCCATGTGACGGAATGTGACGGATCACCAGTGCTGGTGGTAATATTTGAATTGATCTAATCTCGTACTTCCCTCTTATTGTGTATAGTTCTCGTGTTGTATTTAATTCAAACATGCGGCTCGTCTCGCTCAGCTGGCAGCTCGACCAAGCAAATAATGGCGTCAATGGGATCGGAAAATTGGCGATAATTGTAAGACGTGCCGACCACCCGAGTACAACCATGTTGCATAAGCATAAGGGCTGGAGCATTGGCAACAACGTCTGCTGAAGTTGCGGTCAGCGCGCTGCAGCTGAGAGACGGACACGTGATGCATGCACGACAACACCCTGCATGGGACAATAAACAAGGAACACGATAGACACGTCAGAAACCTAAATTTCTGAAGTAATATACCTAAAAAGCTTCTTCCATGATCGCCTTGTAAATTCTCTTCTCACGCGCACAGTCCTTGTACTCTCCCATCATGACAATCACGGCAGATTCGCTTTTCGACGAGGTGGGAGCGAGCTATGAAGCTGCCTTTGCAGACAATGGCCCCCTTTGTGCATTCATTCATCAGGCCAGCAAGAAGCTACCCCCAAACAGTCGGGTTCTGGATGTGGGATGCGGCACCGGCAAGCCCGTCGCGGAGATCCTGGTAACTGCAGGTCATGAGGTGCACGGGATTGACATCTCCCCAGGGATGGTGAAGACAGCTGCGTCACAAGTCCGAGGTCAGTTTGAAGTGGCGAATATGAACACATTTCAGCCTTGCCAATTGTATGATGGGGTATTTGCGATCCTGTCGCTGTTCCAGCTCACTCCCGGAGAACTGTACTCCATGATCTTCAGATTCGCCGAGTGGCTCAACGTGGGTGGGCACTTGGCCCTCGCCGTGACGCCCAGCACCGGGCTGTTGCCGGAAAAATGCACCTACGATCCCACATGGGATTGTGTGTGGATGATCGGAAAGTACTGGATGGGCAATCACACTAACGAGGTGTTCCGTTCGGAGGATGCATGGGCTCGCCTGCTGCAAGCGGCCGGGTTGGTGCTCGAGATTAAGCCTGTCGATCATCTTTTCTGCCCGGCGGGTCACGAGAATTATACGAGCCCTGAGGTGCAGCTATTTCTGCTCGCAAGGAAGGTGGAGCCGCAGGCTTTGCTGGGCCCGTATCCAATTCCAATTGTCGAAACGCCTACAGACTGTGTCGACAATCTGAATATCCTCACAGATCGCTTCGTGAGCAAGGAACTCAAGAGTCTGTCCAATAAGATGGCAGTCAATGGGAGGAAGGTGCTTGTTCTCGGGCAAGGAGACAATTGGAGTCAGTATGTAGGCCGTGGAGAATTGCAGTTCCTGCCTAAGACCACCGATAACCTCCCATTTGCATCCGACGCTTTCGATGTCATCTTTGCGCCCTGGACGCTCGATAAACTTCCAAGCCTCAATAGGGCCATCAAGGAGATGGTTCGGGTGGCACGTCGGAAGGGCTCACAGCTTGTCATCCTTCAAGGAGCCCCAGGGAATGAGGCAGTGATGCACCTGAACGCGGCCGCACGCTCACCACAAATCCGCCACCAAGGCCAGATCCTGCAAGAAGCGGCGCATGAGCTGACGGAACAGGGATTTGGCTTAATTTCTCTGGAGCGTGTTCGCGCACATTACGAGTTCCCCGAAGAGGACTTGCCCACCCGATGCTCGGTGGCTGCAGAATGCTTGGCTGGGATGACACATCGACAGCATCCGAATTACAAGGTCATCAAGCACGTCCTGACTGCGCGAATGAAGCTTCATTTCCAAGGTAGCGCACATGCAGTGGGGATGGACATGGTTGCGCTGGTTGCGAGGTCGAGCGATGCGGAGAATTGTCGCTCGAATTGAAGAACAGTATATCGGATGGAAAGTAGGCTGAATATATACTCATGGTTCCGAGAGATCTTATCGTATCTTAAGTTAACCCAATGTTCAAAATATCACCAAAGACCTTCCCCTCGGGCAGAAGAAATGGTAATAGAATCATATGAGTATTACCTTGCGCCGCCCCCTAGTGGTGGCCAGTGGCGAACAATAAACGCTCTGGCCGGGCCGCTCACCCGTCTTGTCTGCGCTTTTCGAGTGAAAGCTCGTCCAGAGCATGGCTACGAGACAGGCGACAAGAGCAGGATTAAGAGGGGTAGCAGAAAGGAAGGGTATAACATCAGGTTTATAGGGCTGTGGTCGGAGGTGTTTCCCGAACCAGTTCTAGTTTCGGGGTCCTCAGATTAACCCTGGCCTGCAATTGAATCAACAAGTGAGCTCCTCGCGGTTTGATCCCGTATCTCTACTAGATTAATACTCCTAATGTATGTTGAAGTTGGATGATTGGGTGGTGTTGGTATCAATCAATGAGCCTTATCGCGCAAAGATCACGCCAACATGTCGTGATGCACCAAGGCTTGGCCTGAGCTACCACTCATAAATCTATAACCCCGCAACATTGTCATCTCCCAACAACACCAGGAGCGCGGCCAAAATACCCAAACAGAAATATGGCGGACCATGGTTCAACCTTGAGTGCTGTGAAGCAGCCCGACACCAAGATCAGTCAGGTTGTTGACTCCAACCCGCCACCGCGCCGCTCGTTCCGCTCGTTCATCTGGGACACCGACACGCACCTGAAACCCCCCGAGGAGCGACGCCTGCTCCTCAAGCTCGACGCAGCTATTCTCAGCATCGGATGCCTGGGGTTCTTCATGAAATACCTTGACCAGGGCAACCTGTCCAATGCCTACGTGTCCGGGATGCAGGAAGAACTCGGCATGTACGGTAACCAGTACACCTACGCCGGGACCCTGTACACGATCGCATACGCGGTGATGCAGATCCCGAGCACACTCATCATCCAGCGCGTGCGTCCGAGCATCTGGCTCGCCGGGATGGAAGTCGCCTGGGGCGCGTTCACCTTCGCCCAGGCGGGGGTGCAGACCGTCCCCCAGTTATATGTGTTCCGCTTCCTGATCGGCCTGTTCGAGAGTTCCTTCTTCCCTTCTCTGTTATACCTGCTGGGCAGCTGGTATACCAAGACCGAGCTCGCAAAGCGAGTGGCATTGTTCCACATGACCGCGCCCCTAGGGACCGCGTTCGGGGGTTACCTCCAGGCAGCCGTGTATGAGAACCTCAATGGGGCGAGAGGGATAGACGGGTGGCGATGGCTGTACATCGTCTGCGGATGCATGACGGTCCCCGTGGGACTCGCGACGTTTCTGTTCCTTCCTGACACACCGTATACCACTCGCGTGTGGTTCTTGTCGCCGGAGGAGCGGGAGCTGGCCAAGGCGCGCGTGAGCAGGGCGGGCGTCGCGCCGCCGGTGAAGATCACCTGGAAGACGTTCACGGGGGTGTTGAACTCGTGGAAGTGGTATGCTTTCGTCATTGGTTATGTGGTGTGTACTCCTGGCCTGTTCTTGTTAGCTGATCGGAGGGTGTGTTTATGCTAACGTGTCAAAGCTGTACGGCTCATCCTGCGGCGGAAATGGTTACTTCGCCATCTGGCTCAAGTCAGAGAACTTTTCTGTGGCGGATCGCAACCTCATTCCGACGGGGACTTCGTTGATATCCGCAGCATGTGTCGTGCTGTGGGGGTTTCTGTCCGACTATACCGGAAGCCGGTTTGCTTGGGTTCTTATTCCGCTGGTGAGTCGACTGCCTTCATCATCCTCTATGATTCCTTGTAGGAAACGCTAAGCAACATGGCAAACCTATAACAGATATGGGGCCTCATTCCCAACGGTATCCTAGCCTTCTGGCCCCAGAGTCTTGCACTGAAGGAGTTTGCCTTCCTGACCATCGGAATGCAGCTCATGACGGCGGTATTGTAAGTGGCCCGCCAATCGTCCGCCTTCCACTAAGATACTGACGATTTAGCTACTCCTGGGCCAACGAAGTATGCGCCGACAACAACGAGCAGCGCGCCGTGGTGATCAGCAGTATGAATGGGTTCCAGTACGCGGTGGCTGCTTGGCTGCCGATTGTCATCTTCCCGCAGACCATGGCCCCGTCGTTCCGTGAGTATTCCTCAATTTTCTTGGGGCTTTGTCCTAGATCTAATTATACTGTGTCGGCTAGGGTACGGCTTCCCGGCCACATTTGGGCTGGTAATTGCGTCCATCATCAGTGTGGTTGTAATACAGCTGTTTGTTCTGCGGGATGAGCGGAGGGTGAAAGCACGTCTGGGGAATGAGGGATCGGATGATGAAGTAGCTGCGTGAGGTAAAAACATAATGAGACAGGATTGCCATGGCATTTCACTATAAGGAAGTCGTTGATGCTCTTATTAGATATCGTCCGAGTCGATGATCTTTACATAATACTTCGAAGAACTACTCTTGCTCGTGATTTCTATATGAGAAGATACCAGAAAGCCACCTAAGATATGTGACTAGAGTACGTACATAACATACGGAACGACATCCCGACCACCTGGAATAAGAGGCTGTGTAACAGAGATTTAAACCCGGACACATTCATGTCTGTGGCATGCAGGAGCCACAGCCAGAATTATATAAAAGCAAATAAACCGCCAATGTTAAAAGAGCGATTCATTTCTGAGATCTCGAAAAATTGCCGCTGTGTTTACAGATATTTTCTTTAGACCGCGTACTACAAACTCAGGGATTTCATAATGATGAAGCTCACGTTGACTCAAGCGAGTCCCGTCTGACGACGATATCGCCTACCTGGAGAACTGCCTCAAGAAAGTCCACCCCGGGACCGAGGAAGTACTTCGGTGACCTTCTCCAAAAGCGCTGGTAGTATGTATACCGTTTAACTACCTCCTGTAATCTTAATTGCTGAGCAAAAAGACAGCAAAAACATACAACAGAAGGGATTCGCTGGTGGTCACCCACCCAACTACTAACCTCCCGGCGTGTGGCTTAAGTACGGCTGAGCGGACGGGAAGCCCTGTTTTCCACACCCTGTGGTCGTATGTACCTGTAAAACTCTGTTGAAGAATCATATCATGCTTTACGCTCATAAATCAATAACATGCACTCTGTACTGCAATCCAAAGGGGATGTCATCTGGGCAGGCGGTGAGAGGATCCATGATACAGATACAATACAGTGTGCCACCGAGTGATAGGTCCATTTTGCATCTGGATACATTCAACTTTGTGTTGTCCCC